ATGTAGTCAAGTACATACCTACCTGTGGTCTTTAAGTTTAGTTGTCTAACTTGATCTTTATGAAACTACTTGTATTTTCTCAAGTAATACTATTTATAGAACAGGTCACTATCTCTGATTCTCTTTTGCCATACATTGGCAAATAGGACCAGACTGGCTGTATTTTTGAATTCTGACATGTTTTATCATGAGGGTTATTTGGTACCAAAGCATATGAAGGATGGCGAATGATTAATAGGTGATAAATTATCAGTCATTGATACAAAAATAATGGTAGATTATAGGCAATAGATTATAGATAATAATGTATAGATAATAGAAAATGAAGAACTAAGATAAAGAATAGGTGATAAATTGAAGAATGGGGGTATAGAAGAAAGAAGAGAGCTGAAATTTGGCTAGAAATATGATAGAGGATGGCTAGGGGATAGATGATAGAAAGATGGAAGACAGATAAAGGATAGTTAGAGTATAAATGACAGATTAAAGACAGACATAGTACAGCTAGAATGTAGATGTTGGATGACAGTTACAGGATACCTAGAGGAAAGATGTTAGATGGAAAACTGACTGAGTATAGCTAGAGAATATATAATATATAGATGTAAAATAAGCAGATGGAAGATAGGCATAGACATGCTAGAGGATATATTATAGGTGGAAGATAGACACAGGAGAGTTAGGGGAGAGGTGATAGAAGAAAATCAGCATAGGTTATCTTGATCATGAATGATAGATAGATGAAAAAAGACATGCAAAAGCTAGAGGCTAGCTAGATGGTAGACAGACACAGGATAGCTGAGGAATTGATGATACACAGATTGAAAATGATAAATGGAAAATAGTCACAGAAGAAGATAGACAAAAGATAGGTGGAAGGAAGATATATGCTAGGTAGAGGATAAATGATTGATGGTAGACAAACATGATAGCTAGAGGATAGATGTTCCATATACAGAAGATAGACTCGGGTACCTAAAGTATAGGTGTTCCTTTAACGGAAGATAGACACAGGATAACTACAGGACAGATACAAAGATAGACACAGGATAGTTAGTGGGTATATAGGTAGATAGACATAGTAGAGCTACAGAATAGACATAGATAGCTGGAATATAGACACAGGATATATGTATGATAAAAAGCAGAAATTTGGGAGATAGACACAGGGTAGCTAGATGACATATGATGGTTGATAGATACAGTATAGCTAGAGAATAGATGGTAGTTAAATGGAAGATAATAGATGGAACAAAGACTTAGAATAGGTAGAAGATAGATGATAGAGGAAAGATAATAGATATGAGAGGGATGCTATATATATATATATGTGTGTGTGTGTGTGTGTGTGTGTGTGTGTGTGTGTGTGTGTGTGTGTGTTCACCCATGATAGATGGAAATTAGACACAGGATAGCAACAATATTAATAATAATATAATGAATGTAAGCACAGGATATGTACATGGTATATTATGATAAAAGATAATAGGTGAAGGGTAGATACATATTAGTAAGAGGATAGATTATTGATGTGAAATAAGAGAAAACATAGGATGGTTTGAGTATAGTGGAAAGCTAGATGATAAGTATAAATCCATGAAAGTTGTATATAGCATAAAATACAGGCAGTAGAAAATAAGTGATACATGGTAGACATAGGTATTGCATAGATAAATGAGAGGTACATATATGATAAATACATAGCAGATAGAAAATAGAGTATGGATTTATATACATATATAGACAGATGATAGAGTTTAGACAGATTTGATAGAAAATAGATGATAGGAGATATATGAGAGGAATGCAGTACATGATAGAAGTTAGATAATAGGTTGATAGATAATAGATGATGGATAATGATATGTAGAAAATGAATGGTAGATAATAGATTATGGAAAGATAGGTGGCAGATATTTGAGAGATAACATATAGAAGATAGATTGTAGATGAGAGAAGATGAGATAAATGGAGCATAGAAAGTTGATAGGTGATAAATATAGCACATGTAGATGCTACAGTCTGTAGAAAGATAATTACTTGACAAAATATTGGTCTGGTTTGGTTTTAGAATCCACCTATACCTGACTGAATAATGAGGCAAACTCGGCAACAATTATTGAAGAGGTAAGAATTCATAACTGTTGTAGATGGCAAAGCCTTCTGTTCTGCCCCCTGTTTTTATTTCAAATCTAGCCAAATAGACTTTCTGAGGAAAGCTTGGCTCTCTCTGGAGAAATTTGGTCTCTTACTTGGGTTTTACATTCTTCCAGATTCAATTGCATTGGAACACATAGTCTGAATTATTGTTATTAAAGCAGATGAAAACAGATGTAAAGCAAAAAACATTACACTCAAGCTAATTTGGGTTTACTTTAAGTAATTTCTAAATGACAGCTCCAGGCGTGGTGTTGGGTTGTGCTGAGGAGACATAGAAATAAATTGGTCTCTACTTTTAAGAACCTCACTGTCAAGGACAATAACATCAAACTTCATTTCATTGTTTTAAATAGAAATTAGATTCATTTGTTTTATTGTTCATTTATTATTTATTTCAAAGCCTAGCTCATGTGACTTATCACAAAATTTACCTCAAGTCCTCAATCCTCCTGCCTTCCCATCCGAGTATTGGGATTAAGGCCATTTGGTGACATATTCTGCTACAGTAGTTGTTTTGTGTAAGGAATACAGTGGAATCTTAATTCATGCAAAGGTCTATCTTTCTGTGATCTTAGTCCTCCTATTGAGGCACCATATGAAAAATTTGCCTGATCCTTACCCTTCATAAAGTTCACTACTTTTCTGTTGATTATGCTGTTATTTAATTGTAGGCAGAGGAAAATACATGAAGATCTTCGCAATTTGCAGAAAAAACTTCAGAAAATAGTGGATAAGCTTGAAAATGGATGCTCTAGGCAGAGATTCCAAACACGAACTGCAAGGCGTCAGGCAACTGTTGCCTCTGCCTCTACATCCTCACCTTATGACCTAAGAGGTTTGACTTAGGCCCATTTTTACCATGTGCCATTGCTGACTTAAGAGCATCACAACTCTTACCATGCTTCAAGTGTCTTAGGGAACAGAGAATTGGTTGGAGGAGACCTTGAAGTACTTTTGGCTACACAGTTTGTTTCTTTCCATTCACATGACTTTGTTTTGTTTTGTTTTTTGTTTGTTTTACGTTCAATGCATAAAATATTCCTGAGGCTTGTGCAAGAATGGAGCTTACTAAAAGCATATATGGAAAATAGTAATGTCCATTTCTGTGGACCTGTAAGATGAAACTTATAGCATCGGGCACATTTAGTTAAGAACATGAGATGGCTTTATGCCCATAAGCAGATACTCTAACTCTCCTAATCTTAAGTGAAACAACTATTTTCCTGACCACATTATTCCTCTAGGAGTTTCTCTGTTTCTATTCCCTCTCTGTAGTTAAACTTCCCTTAATATTTGTTAGGCCTTGTGTCCACTCCTTCACATTGCATTAATTCTTCAGCACTCTTCTACAATGCTATAGCTGCTGCCACTCTTCATTTACTGCACTGAAGCTACACACCCTATTCTCATTGACTCTTTAGTGAAGACACTTGAGGTATTCTTCCCCCCAGAATATTCACCAAGGGCATGCTGTGAGACTCCTGCCCTAAAGTCAGAATCACCCAGCACAAGGGTTGTATACCCTGAGTCTTGCTCTTTTTCTTGTGTGTAGAGGAGCTAATTCTTATGGATGCAAAGCATGGAGATAGGAGGTTGTGTTGCTGAATTGCTTTGCTGATTCATATTAAGGAGGAGGAGTGGTAGGGCTGTGAGGAGGAGGAGCAGAGGACACGATCAAGTGTGCTGCTCACTGAGCAGACCTGGAGATTGGGAAGCAAAACAGGGACTATTGTTGAAGTTTGATGATTCTCCAGTGAAAGACCTTTGTCCAGAAATGAAAAGAGTAGAATTCCAATTTTTAGCTAGGGACTGGTAGTATGAGTCTATATATAGTTCTTGACTTGGGATATTATGGAACCTGAGTTTTGACAGAACCAAAAGGAAACCAATAACCTGGGTGATTTTCAGTTACATCATTTCTTTCTTTATAAGAATTGGAACTCCACATTTGGAGTCCTTTTTATAATATTAATTATAACTTTGGTCTTGCAACATGGCTCACTGGTTAAATGCACAAAGCATGCAAGCTTGATAACTTGAGTTCCATCCTCAGAACCCATATAAAGGTGGAAGTACAGAATCAACTCCTAAAAGTTGTCTCTGATCTCAGTAGATGAGCTATGGAACTTGCTCTCCCCCAAAATAATTCACAAAATAATAAAATATTTTCCTAAATTATAAGTTTGAGGAATATAACATTGACTGCTAATTATCTTAATATAATACCTCTCCTTTCTTTTCTGAAAAGCAGTGTTAAATATGAGAAAAAAAACTGGCCAAAATGAAGTTCCTGTGTTCAATACCTATGAAGAATTTCATAAGACAGTTCTTCGGGTAAGGGTCCTTTTGTTCGTTGCTTACTTTACATGTGAATCACATACAATACAAGATGCACTACAGCACTTTTCTTTTCTTTTCTTGGTTTTTTGAGACAGGGTTTCTCTGTGTAGCTTTGTGCCTTTCCTGGAACTCACTCTGTAGCCCAGGCTACACTCGAACTCACAGAGATCCACCTGCCTCTGCTTCCCAAGTGCTGGGATAAAAGGCATGTGCCACCATCCAGCTACTACAGCACTTTTCATAGTGTAGCTGGAAGAGCATATGCTTTCAAATAATACAAGTGTTATAACAATATATGTTCTTAGATGAAACCTAAGCCACATAGGGACATCTTAGGTCCTTTCAAGCACTTTTATTAAGAACAAATTTTGGTTGTATACTGAAATTTGTGTTAAGAGGCCTCAAAATATATCGTTTGAAATCTGTCAATAGTTTTACAATGCATACTTGAACATTGTGATGTGTGCTTCTGACAGATGTTAATAACTTAATAACAGATGTTCATTATTTTGACTCATGAAAAAAAGTGGACTTTTTTTTTTATTATTTCAATTGAGGCTAGGGGTGTAGTTCACTCACAACACTTGCCTAGCATATGCAGAATCCTGGATTTATTACCATGACAAAAATAAAAGTAACAGGAAAGTTTTTACTAACACATAAAGATTCTGGGACTTGTCAGTTGTTAGTTATATGCTACAAATATCTCCTTTCACATGAATCTTTGGCTAATAATACACTCAAACCAGTTTCAAACCACAAAAGTTAATAGAATATTTGAATCTACTGGTTCAGTTCTTTAATGATTATGGTATGATTCAAATTTTCTACTTTTCATGAGCCATCTTTGGTAAATTATATTTTCTAAGAATTTGTTGATCACATCACTTTCAATTTTACTGGCATAAAATTGATGATAATATTTTCTATTCATATTTGTTATGGATGAAGCTTCTTTAATGATATCTACTTTTTGTTCTTAAGATTGTTTGTGAGCCTGGAAAGATAGATCAGCAGTTAAGAGCACTGGTTACTCTTACAGAGGATATGGGTTTGAGTCTTAGCACCCATATGACAGCACATAACTATCTGTAACTCCAGTTTCAGGGGATCTGACACTGTCTTCTAGCCTCTTTGGGCACAAGACACACACAAGGTACACAGACATACATGCAGGAACAATCCACTCATACGTTTAAAACAAAAATATTTTAAAGAAGATTGTGCTTTTCACTTTGCAAATCACTTCATCAGAGGTTTATTACCAGTATTGCTCTTTTCAAAGAATTGATTGTTTTACTTTCATTTTTTAAGGCTCTATTGTATCTTTACATTTTGCTCTTCACTTCCATTCTGTCTCTTTATAAATTTGATTATCTTAGAGATTTATTTATGTCATAACATAGAACCTTACATTCTTCTTTTCCTCAGTGGCTTATTTCACTCACTAAAATATTTATGTGATCCATTCATGTTGTAGCTGGTGACAGAATTCTCTCTGAAGGCTGAATAATAGTTCTTACATGTTATATGACATTTTGCAGAGGCTTTTATCTGTCAGTTGCTTGGAATATGTGTTAATACTTCTCTGTGGCTAAATCAAATAGTTGAGTTAGAGAACTATATGAAAACAAGAAGCTTGATGTCGCATTGGAAGTGTAGTGGTGAGCATAGCTGTCTTCTGTGAAATGAGGCTTATTTAGCTGCAAGTTGAAAATTGTGTCCTCTTTTAATGGCCTCTTGGCTGTATCATTTGTGAGATGGCTTCACAGTGGAACTGGATTCACATGTGAGAAAGAACAATCATACTGTAAAACAGAAAGCCAGATCTTGGGGAGGAATCATTAGTCTTCTTCTGTAATAACCACCTGTTAGGAACTAACCACAGTCTCATAAGAAATAAATTAATTACTAATGAAGGCAGTTTCCTCAGTATCCTCACATTACTCTCCTCTTAAAGACTTTATCAGCTCTCCCATTGCACAATGAGGACCAAGCTTCTAATACATGAATGCTAGGATTAAAGGTGTGTATGCCACCATTTTCTGGCCTCTATGTCTGTCTAATGGCTGTTCTATTCTCTGACCCCAGATAAGTTTATTAATGTCCACAATATATTTGGGGACACAATATCACCACAATATCCAAAACATACCAGATTGCTTCCACCTTTTGTCATTGTGAATAATGATACTGAGAATGAGGATGAACAGCCATTTGAGGCTCTGCTTTCAACTCTTTCTTATGTTTGTCCAGAAGTAGAAACACCGGAGTCTATGGTGTCCTCTAATATTTTGAGAACTGGCCATACAGTTTTCTACAGCTTCTTCATTTTAACCTCTCAGTGACAATACACAGGGATTCACATTCCTTCACAATCTTCTCAAAGATTTGTCTGCATATTAAATCCATTACACAGAAGAAAAGTGATGGCAGTAACCAACTTTATAAGTAGATAGCTAGAATAAGCACAAATGAAAGTGCCCTTAAAAATTCCTAGCATTTAAAAATTAAATATGCTTAAATTGTGACAATCTAGACATGGAATCAAACCTTCCTAGCTTGTGCTAGAGAGTTTAGTGTTAGTTGGGTGAACATTGAAATTTGTTGTCTAAGTGACACATCATTTGATAAATATCTCATGCTTAAGGTTAAGTAGATTCTGTGTAGAAGGCAGAAAAACAGATTTTTTAATTAAGTATATGCCTACTTTATAAATATATAAGTAATATACATTTTCAGTATTCTATTAAAATTATTTATGAATGTAGACATAAAGCTATCATTTTATTATTGTTGCACTATTTGATTATGTTATTATTCTCTTTACTAGTCATTTGAAAGCATTTCAATTGTACTGAACATAGATGGAAAAGTTGTTTTTATATCACAGAATGTGTCACCTCTTCTTGGCCATCGACCAGTAAGTGTTTCCACCTTTTGGGGAAAAGGGTCTTTCTGGTTTGCTGTTTGTGGGGTATTTCTTTTTTTTGCTTCATATAACTCATTGATGTCCAACTATGCCCACTTAATTATGGCATCTATTGTAGGTCTAATTTATTTGTATCTTAATTTCTCATTTAATTAATTTTAAAAATCTTAGATATATTTCTTTATTTTTATGTGTATAAACATTTTGCCTGAATGTATGTGCACTAAATCTATGCCTGGTTGCTGTGGAGGACAGAATAAGGCATTGGGACCCTTAGAATTATAATCTCAGACAGTTGTGAGCTGTTATGTGGGTGCCAGGAACTGAATCCAGGGCCTATACAAGAGTAACAAGTGTTTTTAATAGCCAATCTATCTCTCCTACCTACCTCTCTTTTTGAAAATATTTGATAACTACTAAGTAGTTACACATAATTTTAATGTTTTAAGGTTTATTTTTAATTTTTAAATATTTTTAGCTACTGCTAACTGTTTACTAATTCTCAGGGAGAGAGGTAGCGTCTCATGTGTTCCTCCCCTTAGCTACTGTTAACTATCTGTAAACCATCTGGGAGGAACAGGGCCTTCAATTACTCTTAACTACCTGTAATTCCCAGGGAGAGGTAGGTTTTCATGAGATCCCACCTCCAAAATGTGATAATAGAATTGGAAGGGGTTACCTGCAAGGAGGAAAAGGGTCAGTGAGAATGAGAAATGGTAAGAAAAGGTAATGGGATAATCTTCCTCAATAAAGTCTGTGTCATTTGGTGGTGTTGTTATTCATATCTGAGTGGTTTTCACTGTATATTCCACATTACACAAAGTTGCCTTCTGAACCAGAGAGCAATAGCACTTGGGCTTGAAGCATGGGAATCAATAAAGTTTAACAGATATACTAGAGTTATATTGAAAGTAGATTAGAAACTAGTCTACAGCAAACTCCAATATTGTTCACTTTTTTCCTAATTAATTAAATGAAATTCATTATTAGCTGAAATTAATTACTTCTTCCTACTATATGAGGATTTTTTATACTGAGAGTGCTAGATATAATATTATTCTGATTGTTTTATGTAATTTGTCCAAAAATTTTATGCCCTGTACCATATGTGGTAACACACACACATGTGCACAAGCATACACACATATATACACATATGCACACATATGACACATAAGGTAAAGTATCTGGGTATGTGTTTTGAAGGAGAGGCCTTAAAGAATATGTACTTGATTACCTGAGACTTACGTGAATAAAAATAATAGTATTTAGTTTAGTTAGTACAGTGCTTGCCCACCATACACAAGATTCTGTTTTTGATCCCAGCACCACATAAACTGGGAGATGAAGGCTGGAAGGTGAGAATTTTAGTCATTTATGTCTATGCTAAGAATTTGAGACCAGCTTGGGATTCATGAGACAATGTCTAAAATACATAAATAAAAATATTTTTATATAAACACTAAAAGGGAATGAAATTGTGTTATGTTTATCAGACAGGGTTGAGAAAGTATACCTGAAGCACTATTTTATTATTTTATGTGCCTTTTCAATAAATCTAATTGTTATACATTTTTCATAATCAATTAAAATCTGAGAAGTTACACAGAGTCGTTCTCCTGGGTAATCCTTAAGCAAACAGACCTTTCCATACATAAAGTTCATCACGGGAAGAGTTTCTCAGGCTTTAGAAGTTTGGAGACAGGAGGTCATGGCATTGAAGAAGATTGGCCTCTGTTTCCAACCTGGGGCTCTTGCAGAGATTCATACCTTTCCTTGGGCCTTATCTGCTTTTCTGATGTATGTGTACTATGAAAAAAAAAAACATGTTTCTTGTCAAGATTCTCAGCAAATAACACTGAGCAGGGTAAATTCCTTTCTTCTTGTGGAATGACTGAGACAAAACTGTCAAACAGAATGTGTTGAAATAGCTATTCAAATTTCTCTTTTGAAAACCTTCTCATTTATTTTGCTGTTATTTCTTGCTTCATAAACCTTAAGTACCTTGAACTTTCTGCCCTGTGTAATGAGAAGACTGAATGCCAGAGATAGAAAAAATAAGATGAGTCTAATCTTTGCCTCTTTATTCTCTCCCTCCCCCTCCCTCCTTTCCTCACTCTCCTCCCAATTTCCGTGTATTTGTATGCATACACTCACACATGGGTCAATGGTATGATTGCTAATGTCCACTGTTTTAGTTGGTGATTGATCATTACTCTTATTGCAGCCCAGGTTGACCTTGAACTCATGATGATCATTCTACTTTGCCTCTAAAATTAGTTCTTTATATATTTTGGAGATCAGCCCTGTGTCATATGTGGGGTTTGTGAAAATTTTTCCCGTTTTGTACGCTGTCTTTTTGTCTTATTGATAGTGTCCTTTTCACTACAAAGCTTCTCAGTTTCAAGAGGTTTCATTTATTAATTGTTGCTCTCAATGTTTGTGCTACTGGTGTTATATTTAGGAAGTGGTCTCCTTGCCAATGCAATCAAGGCCATTTCCCACTTTCTCTTCTCTCAGGTTCAGTGTAACTGGATTTATGTTGAGGTCTTTGATCCACCTGGACTTGAGTTTTGTGCATAACAATAGATATGGATCTATTTGCACTCTTCTACAGTTGACATCCAGTTATTTCAGCACCATTTGTTAAAGATACTTCCTTTTTTCCATTGTACAGTTTCAGCTTCTTGTCAAAAAAAACACCTGTTCTCAGGTGTACAGATTAATGTCAGTGTAATCAATTTCATTACATTGGTCTGCATGTCGGTTTTTATACCAATTTCAAGTTGTTTTTATTACTATTGCTCTATAGTATAGCTTGGGGCAAGGGATTGGTGATGCCTTAAGAAGTTGCTTTATTGTATGGGATTGTTTTAGTTATCCTGGGTTTTTTTTCATATAAAGTTGAGTATTGTTCTTTCAAAATCTATGAAGAATTGTGTTGGTATTTTGATGGGGATTGCATTGAATCTGTAGATTGCTTTTGGTAAGATTTCCGTTTTTATTATGTTGGTTCTACCTATCCATGAGCATGGGAGATCATTCCATTTTCTGATATCTTCTTCAATTTCTTTCTTCAGAGACTTAAAGTTCTTGTCATATAGGTCTTTTGCTGCTTATTTAGAGTTATCACAGGATATTTTATATTATTTTATATTGTAAAGGAAGATGTTTCTCTGATTTCTTTCTCATCCGATATACCATTTGTATTTTGGAGAAATACTGATTTTTTTAGTTAATCTTGTATCCTGCCACATTACTGAAGGTAATTCTTCCGTGGTAGAATTTTGGGGTCACTTATCCATACTATCATATCATCGGGTAATAGCAAAGGTTTGACTTCTTCCTTTCAGATTTGTATACCCTTGATCTCCTTTTGTTGTCTTATTGCTCTATCTAGAACTTCATTTACTTTATTGAATAGATATGGGGAGAGTAGACAGCCTTGTTTTGTTTCTGATTTAAGTGGAATTGCTTTGGGTTTCTCTCCATTTAATTTGATGTTGTCTGTCAGCTTGCTGCAAATTGCCTTTATTATGTTTAGGCATGTTCCTTGTATTCCTGATCTCTCCAATACTCTTGCCAGATAGTTTCTCAGGTCCTGCCCGGCCCCACTGTCCCTCAGCTGCTTATAAAATAGTCATTCAGAAGTGTAATATTAAATACCAATTGCATGGCCTATGGAAGACTTATTAATAGCTAGCTATTATAACTTACTTCATTTCTATTAATCTATAAGTTGCCACATTGCCTTGACATTACCAGTCTGCTGGCATCTTGCTTCTCCTTGGGTGGCAGATAGCATGTCCCTCTCCTCTCCTTTCTTTTCACCGTCTATCTGCTTGTATTTGCTGCCTGCCTCTAAGCTGCCTTGCCATAGAACAAAACATACCACAACACAAGAACTTTATCTTGAAGGGGTGTTGGATTTTGTTGAAGGCTTTTTTCAGTATCTAATTAGATGACATTGTGGTTTTTTTTTTTTACTTCTATTTGTTTATATGATGGATTACATTCACAGAACTTTAGATTTAGAGCTGTAGTGCCTGCATGGGGCAGGACTAGGCCCTGTGCATAAGCAAGAAAGTGTGTAGCTTGGTGTGTTTAAGGGGCCCCTGACAGTAGGATCAGTACCCATTACGGTACATAAGCTGGCATTTTGGAGCCATTACCTGTGATGGTACACCTTTTACAGCCTGGATGCATGGGTAGGGCTTGGTCCTATCTCAAATGAATGTACCATGCTATGCTGACTTTCCATCGGCTCCTTTACCCTTTCAGATAATCAAATGGGGGTGTTTTGGGGGTAAGGATTGGGGAAGCTGGAAGAGGGATGAGATGGGGATCTGTGGTTGGTAAGTAAAATGAATAAAAAATTTCTTAAAGAAAAAAAGTTGACATTCAAAGTAAATTGATTTCATTCTCTCTCTCTCTCTCCCTCATTCTCTCTCTCTCTCTCTCTCTCTCTCTCTCTCTCTCTCTCTGTGTGTGTGTGTGTGTGTGTGTGTGTGTGTGTGTGTGTCTTTTTCTTTCTTCCTTTTTGGCAAGACAAAGTAGTATTCTACAGTTCAGGCTGCCCTGAGACTCCCTATGTAGCCTGGGTTGGTTTTAGACTCAGGGCATTCCAATTGCCTTAGTGTCGTGAGTCCTGCGATTACAAGTATGAATCTACTTCTAGTTCATTAGCACATTTTGTATGCATATGACATACTTTATTCTTATTGTGCTCCTGAAAATTATAATTCATGTAATGTTCTTCTTTGAAAATGTTTACTCCCTGCAGAAACATTAATTACTTCATATGTAATGTCTATAAGTAAGAATGTTCCATAGCACATTTAGTAGGATGAGTAAAAGTTGTATTTGAGACAGTTGTGGTGCAATAAAAAGAATAATCATGAGTAAAATGGAAAATAATTCTTCATCTTATATGGAATAATGAAACTGCACTGTTTGTATATATTTAGAGAGTATCTGTGAGGTGATTGTTTAATCATTTATTGGTTGTGAAAATCAATAAAATTCCAGATTAATCAGAGATAAATTAGTTTGGGTATTTGAATTGTATATTCATAAAAATGAAAACATTTTTATTGAAAAAATAAGTATTTCTTTAGGGTACTCAGCATTGAGCTTTCCCACCAAAATGAACAAGGCCAGATTAAAATATAGAGAGGGCTTTGGACCTGAAAGTGTGAGGAAGGTACAAAATAGAAAGGATTCACATTGAAGAGTGAGAAAGTGTGGGGGTTTCCCATCCACATTCAGTTTCTTGGACACTATGGACAAAGAGCTGAGATTTTTCCAGGCACATAGCACAAAGGGAAAGAACATATGCTGTTAATTACAGCATCGGTCGTCTCTGAGATAGCTAGGGAAAACTTCAACTGCTTGAGGGAAATAATGTACAGAAAAACTGTATCCAAAATAGATTGTAGCAAGCAGTAACTGCTGGAGGGTAATGAAAACTGACTGAAGCACAGTACCTATGGCCATAAATGATCAAGGGTAGAGCTAAATTCACTGGTAGTAAGGAGAAAGGACAGAATAATAGTATTCACGGAGAAAACAAAAATCTGTTCTCTCTCTTTCTGTCCAGGGAGATATTGTGGGGAAGACTTTATTAAATATTATTCTTGATGAGGAAAAAGAAGAAGTATCTCAGAAGGTCATTCTTAATCTTCCTTTGGCAAAATCAGGTATGCTTACATGATTTTATTTTGTTTTGATTTAATTTTGAGGTTTTGAGTGACAAGTAACATTCATCTGAGTAATTTCTTTCTTTCTTAACACAGTAATTTTTTGAAAAAAAATATTAGTCACTGTAGCTGCTGATCATATATTCATTTAAGGTTATAGCTTATAGTATTAAATACTTCATTTCTAACATTTAAAATAATTCTCTCCTGTGGGGTAGTGGGGAGGAGCTCATGTGCCCTCACCCTCAGATGAGGAGCTAGTGACAGTTGATGTATACTGGGACAGGTAAGTGGGTTTTCTTCAAGGATATGGCCCCTGGCAGGCTGATCATGATCTAGTACAGTGGTTCTCAGTCTTCCTAATTCAGTGACCCTTTAATACATTTGCTCATGTCATGGTGACCCCAACTATAAAATTATTTTCATTGCTACTTTATAACTCTAATTTTGCTACTGTTATGAATTGTATTATAAACATCTGTGTTTTCTGATGGTCTTAGATGATGCCTGTGAAAGGGTCATTTGTCCCCAAAAGGAGTAACAGCCCATGTTTTAAGGACCAATTCTCTAATGAATGTTTGCATTCAGAAGTGTATGAGCAGCACAAATTGGAATTGTGTGGTTTTTTGGGGGCACAAAATTGGGAAGGAATTAGTGGGGATGAGGATCTGGTTCTAGGAGGGGCTGGTGGGAGTGGTATATGAATATGATCAAAATACACCACATGCATATATGAAATTCTCAAAGAACTAATAAAAAATTCTTTATTGAAAAGTCAACCCAAGCCCTGTCTTTTTCTTTACCCTAAACCCTACTTATAGCAGTATTTCTCGAATTGCAGTATAGACAAATTTCTAAACAGTCTTATTAAGTAAGATACACAGAGCCAAATACAGGGGTGAAAGCCACAGAGATCAGAGAAATAGGAATAGGCACCAAGTAACCTTAGCTCACCATGCCACTGTAGCTTCCCAAGAGAATCTGCTTCTTTTTGTATAACCCGAGCCTTTATTGCCTTATTGTTCTGCCTTCTCATTTGCTCTTAGCCCAGCCACCTCACTTTCTCCTCACTGCCTGTCTGTACAGACCTCCAGGTCTCAGAGGTTGGCACTGGGATGAAGGGAGTATGACATTACACTTGGCTGTGTCCTTGAACTCACAGAGACTCTGCCATGTGATTGGATTAAGGGCATGTACTACCACCTGACTTTTATTTATAGCTCTCTATGACCTCTGATCTCCAGGCAAACATTATTTATTAACATATGAATAAAATATCAACAAATTTCAGCACAAATAAAATATCACCACATTGCAGTAATGCTCTATAAATACTAGTGTTTTATATTCTGGGTGGTACACTATTCTATAGATGATAGCCCTATGAGTACCATCATTCATGGAAAGAAAATTGTGTTCTTTAAAATGTTGTCCTGTGCAGGATGTGGTGGTGCCCACCTTTAATCCCAGTACTCAGAAGGCAGAAGCAGTCTTTAATCCCAATACTCAGGAGGCAGAAGCAGATCTCTGTGAATTCAAGGCCAGCCTGGTCTACAGAGAGAGTTTGAGGACAACCAGGGCTAGATGGAGAAACCCTTCCACAACAAAAAAAAATGTTGTTTTGACTAAAGAAGACTTTCATTGACTGAAATAATCCCTCTGACTATACAATTTAATTTGTTTCATTCTCTCTTTAGTTGGCAACCTTATTGAATTTTGCTGTTATATAAGAAAAGGAAATGCTGCCCAAAATGCTCTGGAAACACATGATTACACGAACATGTACAACATCAGGGACACATATGAGTATGTAAAATTCATCTTGTACCTGCAGGATTCCTATGATGGTGAGCAACCCAGCTCCAGCCCATGATTTTTAAATGATGTACAGGAGTGGTGTATTCCTAATTGGTAGCATACATGTTTTTGTAATATTAGTATTTACAAAATCTTTGATACCCCTACACTGACAATTTTTGGCTACACCTATTAGACATTAAAAATAATAGTGAAATTTATAAGCTGGAATCATAGTGAAACATGTTGGATTAGATTAATAAAGAATGGCTGTCTCCTCATACAAAACAAAATAAAATATAAAGCCTATTCCTAAAGTTTAACGCACTGCCATGCTTAAAGGGAAACCCATGAATACTGAAACTTACAAATGGATTTTTTAGTTTGTAAATCATACCACAGATTGGATTAACTGGGGCCTAAAGTTCTAACATCCTATCAAAGACAAATATATAAAATATAAACACTAAAGTTCTGTACACTAATATAGGAAAAAAAGTTTATCAATTATGTAATGTGTACTATAGGGGCTAGTGTATAATTTTTGAGATTTAAGGAAGTACAAGCTGATAAATCAACATACATAACTAAAATTAACTGCTTTGGAGCCATAAAACATCTAACGTAATCAGAGGCAAACTATACTTTATGCTTTAGGTACCCAAATACTTGTTAAGACATTTCTCATGTTTCTTGGAAGTTGAAATATCTTTAAAAAACACTTGGATAGATGCATGTACATTTATACTTACACACACACAACACAAACACACACACACACACACACACACACACACACACACACACACACACCATGTATTTTAGAGACTACCACAGCAATACATAGGGCAACAGCAAAAGATTGACATCAGCACAAATTCACATTTGATTTTCTGTATGAGTGTCTCATATTTTGGTGGTAACCATCTTGGGAGCTGGGATGAAAGGGAAGCAAGACCAGGAAAATCCCATGGCTCAGAATATTGAAAAATGCCATAGAGATGACAAATAGCATTGTGATGTGGCAATTGTCTTCATCCTTGTTTATCTAGTATGTATTTTAATTTAATTGCCATGGTGTCTGTCAACCTTAGAGTCATTTGCATTTTTTGGAAACTATGGTACAAATAGCAGAAGCATTCAGTCATCAACTCCAACGATGTTATGGGATCAGCAATACTATCTTGTGGGAACCATTTCAGTTCTTCGTACAAAACCTGAATCAGTGAGTATGCTGTTTGTTTCTCACACTTTGAAAGGCATATCATTTTCATTTTCAGCCTCTGGACATCAGTGCACAAACATTCAATACTCAGTAAAGAAAGAACAACTTGTATGTTTCTGTTAGTAAGTGAAATTCCATCTAAGAACAGCTCTGGTTTTTTCTCTTGGATAGTTTTTTGTTTTGTTTTGTTTTCTGTTTTATTTTTAGCCTCTCAAAGGAAAAGTGAGTTTTTAGAATCCAAGTGATAGGTTGAAATTCCTTTAGTTTATTCTTTCAATAACATGGGACACTTTTCATGTCCCAGATGTTGTGTTAAGTGCCAGAGGAATACATAGAGGCAGACAATAAACAAAGCATTGATGCAAAATGTCACAGGGATGAGAGTTGGTAGGGTATCTCTGGTGATTTGTGTTTGGATTATAGGATGCCAAGAATGATTAAAAAAAACTGACAATTTGCAGAGAGTGCCTTGATCCTAGTTTGGAGAGTTTGAAGAAAAAAAATGATTATATGACTCAAATGAGGGGAAAATGGTAAGAGAATAGTGGAGGCAGGTCGGGGACAGATTGTACAGAACTTCACCATCTGTACTAATGCATATGGAATTTATGCTAAATGCACTAGAATGCAGAGGGGTAGTATGATATGGACTGAAATCACCAGGCTGCTTTATAGGTAGATCATAAAGCATAAAGAGACAAGAATGGAGCTAACCAGATGTGGATGGCAGGTCTGGACTGATTGTAGTCATGGGGATATAAATTTCAGGATTTGAGATGAATGGAGGCACTATCAGCAGATACAGACTGGACTAGAACATTGTAGACTGTGCAGTATTGGTGGCCCAGATGAGGAGCTCCATTTGGCCTGTGGACCATGCTTCTATTGTGATGGCAGAGTAGATGGTTCCTACATTCAATTTTAGAATAAACCACTTCTCAATATTGAAGATAGTAAGGAAAGTGGGAAAAACTGAAGGAAGTTGGTCTGATTTGATTTCCTCATGCATTCTTCCTTTGTACTAAACCTCTGGGACCTGAATTCCATTATCTGCTGTGAGAATACTGTCTTCTAATATGTAGGACTCAGCCCCAAGGTCTGTTTGCTCTCCTGGGAAAGAGAAAACAAATATTTCTTGGTTCTCCACTAGTCACCATCATGACACCAGGAAGTATTTTTGTGATTTCCTACAGTTTTTATTTTCTGGGCCTCTAGGATATTATTTCTATATCAGTGGATCTTTTGGAATACATATCTCAAGAGAACAGAGAGATAGTGGTCAAAACAGTCTGTACAGTATGATGGAATAAAATAGTGAGAATTTGAGTCAAAGTGAAATTCATCTTCTGGATCTACTAGTGTTGGGCTAAACCATTGTATGTGTATACCTCGTTTCATACCTGTAAACCCAGTGTCTTCCTCACACTAACATGTGGATCAGTTGTATCTTGAATATGTAATGTATGTGATAAATATCAGGTAATATTTAGTATACAGATACATTTAAATGACAATTAGGGGGCTGGGAGTGGGTGTAGCTCTACTCCGCACAAGGCTATATAGGTTTGACTCTAAGAAATGCCAAAATGATGATGACAACAATGGAAACAAATATGCTAATTTTTTTTCAGAAACATCCTGTTAAAATTAAACCTACTATTATAATTATTGAATCGGATGATGACACTGATATACAGCACCGCAGGTAAGAGATATCATGGATGTAAGTAATTAAAATCAAAGCAATTAAAAGATCATCTAAGGATTTTAATAAATCTAAAATGACCAATTTGTTGGAATGAACCTAACACATCATTTAATATAATTTATAGTTTTCCCACAGAACACAGATAATTGCCTTTTTATTTTCAATTTATTTATTTATGTTGATTTTTCGAGACAGGGTTTCTCTGTGCAGTTTTGGAGCCTTTCCTGGAACTTACTCTGTAGACCAGGCTGGCCTCGAACTCACAGAGATCTACCTGGCTATGCCTCTGGAGTGCTGGGATTAAAGGAATGCATACCACTGCCTGGTTTACTTTTAATTTTTAAATTTTTAATTATCATAAAATGTGTAGATTTTTCTTGCCTGTCTGTCTATCTATCTATCATCATCATCACCAACATCATCTATCATCTATCTATCTGTATGTGTATTTGTATATACAACCACTTCCAGCTCCAGATCTGTGTATTTTAATGTATGTAAGTGATCATGTATCCAGTATCTGTTGCATTATTTTCTAGATTGGTCTAATAATTATCCTAGAATAAAGGACAGAAAAAAATACAATATATACCTGAGTATGAGAGTCCAATTCTTGGGACCCAAAAGGATGGAAAGAGAGGCCTGATTCCTGAAACTTTTCCTCAGTCCTTCAAACAAGTAACATACATGAATGAACACATACACACATAAAAAATGAATAAATATTTTTTAAACAATAGGAATATTGAAAAGCAGGCATGACAGTAATTGAGATATAGAGTAAGAGAATCAATAGCTCAGAGTTATCCTGGCTATCCTAGAACTCACAATGTAGACCTGGCTGGCATAGAACTCACAGATATCTACCTGCCTCTGCCTCACAATTGATATGATTAAAGGTATGGGTCACTGTGTACAGCCTACAAGGTAATTGGAAGGTAAAAAGTTGCTTCAAGATATTAAGAAAACCCTAAGCTTACCCTTTAAGACAGTTTGCCAAACTAAATCATTTTAAGATGAAAGATTAACATCTGAAGTACTTGGGAGACCCAGGTACCAGGCTGTTTACTACCTAAAAAATTCACAGTTGAAAACAGATGGATAAAAAGTAACAATATTCTGCAGCTAAGACACCAAGTTGAGAAAAAGCCAGGGAAGACTTGATGTTTTCAGTCTTCAATGATTGGTTTAAAATGAGGTATGGGAGGAGTCGGGGTCTAGTACAGTTGTCTGTTGGGCATAAATGAGGGATGGGAGGAGTCTGGGTCTAGTATAGTTGTCTGTTGAGCTTGCAACCAGAAGTCCCTGAAGCTGGCCAAGAATTCAGCCAAGACAGACTTTTAAATTCCACTCATCTGTAAAGACACAATGGAGAATTCTACAAAGACTGAAAGTGGTTGCCTCTGGCCAGGTGTTGTATGTGGATGGGGACAGAGGGGAATGATTGCTAGAACAGTATAGTGTTTTTTGTTAGATAAGAAAATGTTCTTAAATTCTCTAAGGGTTGGGGATTTATCTTAGGGCTTTTCCCAGCAACTGCAAAGTCCTGATTTCAGTCATCAACATGTAAAAAAATATGTAAATACAAAAGGACTAAAACCCTCAAGGGAACTAAAATTACTCCAGTAATTGTATGATCTGAATGTGCCCAAAATCGTTGAATTTAAAGCTTTAATTGAATTGTATGAAATGTAAATTTGATGTATAAAAGCTCTGGGGCTGGGAATGTAGTTCAGTTGATAAAGCATAAACTTGGAGGAGTTAGTAGTATGTGCCTATAATATCAGACTCCAGAGGTGGGAGTAGGCAGATCAAGTTTTAAAAACATTATGTGTCTGGTTCTTTGCCTGCATGTATGTCTGAGCACCACATCTGGATCTTGTTCTGTAGACCAGGGTGACCTCGAACTCACAGAGCTCCTCCTGCCTCTGCCTCCTAAGTGCCGGGATTAAAGGCATGCACCACTGCCCAGTATTGTTTGGTATTTTTGAGACAAGATCTTACTATGTAGCCCTGGTTGGTCGCTTTCTGTGGTAGTCTGATTCTGTCTCCCAGATACTGGGATTCCAAGCCTGTGTCAGTGCCCATGGAGGCCAGAGTGGGGTGTGAGACACCAGGGAAGTGGAGTTACAGACAGTTGTGAGGTGCCACAAGGGTGCTGGGAAATGAACCCCAGGCCCTCTGAAAGAGCAGCCAGTATTCTTAACTGCTGAGTCATCTCTCCCACCCCCAGATTACAAATGTAAGGTATTCTATGGTAACATACTAAGTTTAAGGCTAGTCTGGGATACATTGAGATCCTGCCTCCAAAAGAAAATCAACATGTATGTGTGTGTGTGTGTGTGTGTGTGTGTGTGTGTGTGTGTGTGTGTGTGTTTGCTGTCTTAGAATTTTCTTTAAGTGTTTAGATATTATAAATAATACATGACATTGTTTATGTTTAAATTATTTCACATTGGAAATCAAACCAGTAAGAGTAATTATTATCCAGGCGGTGGTGGCACACACTTTTAATCCCAGCACTTGGGAGGCAGAAGCAGGTGGATCTCTGTGAGTTCAAAGCCAGCCTGGTCTACAGAGTAAGTTCCAAGACAGGCTCCAAAAGCTACACAGAGAAACCCTGTCTTGAACCGCCCCCCAAAAAAATAACCAAGTAATTATTCAACATTTTATGTACAAATCATATATGCAAGTGCATGCAATAACTCACTGACAGGCTTTTTTCCTCTATTTTATCTCTTCTGAATGCACTCACATATTCCAAGGTGTCATTTACCACATTTACTGTTAGGTTATTTTGTTTGTTTGTGTTTTTTAAAGTCATATTTATTAAGATAATTCATCCTCTTGTATTTTGGAGTGATGGAATTTTTCTGTTGTTTGGCCTCTCAAACTAAACTCTGTTTTTGTGTCTGTGTGTTTTAGAATGTTAGGGATAACCAGGCTTATACACATATTAGCTAAATGTTCTTCCACTGAATCATACTTATAATCCTAAGACACAGTACATTTTAAAGTTAAGCATACAAAGTAATGGGTTTGCATTATGACATTTCCATACTTATCTATCATTATATAAAACAGATTTTTAATATAATATCCTTATTAATTCTTTGAGAATTTCACAGGATATATTTAGATAATACTCACCCCCAGCTTCTCTTTCTAATTCTTCCTAGATCCATTCCCTCACATTCCACCCCTGTGCCTCCCAACTTCTTGGCCTCTTTTTTTTTTTTTTACATATTCCACTGAGTCTGATTTGTGCTCATGGATTTGGGGTCATCCACTAAAAGTTGTTCAGCCTACCAATGGTCATAGTCTTAAGTAAAATTGATGCTTCCTTCCCCAGAAAACACAAACTGTCAACAGCTTCCCAAATTAGGGATAGAGGCTTATGAGCCCCTCCCCACTCCATTCTGGATTGTTGACTGACCTGATCTTACATAGATCTCATGCAGGCCATACCACTGCCATGAGTTTATGAGTGCACTGATCCTGTCATGGTCAAGATGACACTGTTTTATCCTTGATCTCTGGTCTTACAGTCTGCTTGCCCTATCTTCTGCATTAGTCCCTAAGACTTGTGTGGCAGGGGATCATAGATTTACTATGTAGGACTAAATACTACAGTAACATTTATTCTCTGCACTTTGACCAGTTGTGAGTTTCTATATTAACCACCGAATACTGCACAAAGAAATTTCTTTGATGAGTCCCGTGAGCTACACTAATCCCTGGCATAAAGATATTAAATTAGAGGGCAGTTTGATACTATATTATTTTGCAAAATAATGTCAAGTTGATTCAACCTTGCGGCTGGTGAGCTTGTCAGCCTTGTGTCCTTTGTCAGATTTATGATGCTAGTCATCTGTTCTTCCTCCTGTGGTGGGTCCTTCAATCAATTCAGAAATGTGTTGTTTGTCCCCATAGCATTCATGCCACTATTGCAAACATGTGCATATCTTGCCATGCCAATCATTATTGTGATCACAATGTTCACAGCTGGTAAGACCATTGATGACTTCTCCCTCGTTCAGCCTAAATAACCCTTTCAGTACTTTGAAAGCTAGCCAGCAGAGAGGAAGCTTCCTGGTCAGTACACAAAACACATTTTGATAATGATTTCTTTATGATTTTATTAAGGCTTCGAAAACGACGCAAGAGGAAGAGAATTCAAAAAAATCGCAAGGCTAAATATTTGAAAGCAAAACATCCTGTATCAGTTAACAACGTATGTACATTGACAGCCATTACATAGAACCCTCGGCCTTTTTCCTTGTAATTCTATTATTTAGTTAATATGTTTTGCCACCATAGAAAGGCTTTCATTTTAGTAACTGTCTTGTGAGCATGGCAGTGTCCTATAGTATATTTTTTTCTTTCTGTAAGAAATGTCCATGCTTAGAATAGTCTCTGTGATAACTTAGAAAAATATCAAGCTAAACTCCTTTCCAGACATCATAGAAAATGTTTATTTTTTTGTATTTTGTAAAGAAAGTTTGAAAGTTGGGCATCTTGGTTTATGCCTGTAATGCTAGGTATTCGGGTAATGATGTAGGAGGATGGCTGCAAATTTCAGGCCAGCTTATGCTACATAGTGAGTTCCAGAAGAACCTGGCCTAAAAAGTGAGACCTTGTCACAAATACAAGTTTATCAAGGCTTGCTTGGATAGTTTGAGAGACTTGACACCTATGCTTGTCATGTAGCTTCCAAATACAAGTTTGCATGTGCACAAGCATCTGCACATACACATGTATACACACACATATACACATTATTTGTAGAAACAGTTCTTTTAATTTTCAATTTTAGTACATTCTAGGCTGATGGTATCCTCTTTATACACCCTTGCAGTGCTGAACAACAGACTGCTCTGTTCACTCTTGCAATGCTAGGCTTCCACAGAGAGCAAAAACTCCCATTTGCCATATGGTCATGAGCCGCCATGTGGTTGGTGGGTATCAATCCCAGGTCCTCTGGAAGAGCAGCCAGTGTGCTTGAACACTGAGAAATCTCTCCAGTCCCCACCAAATTGCATGTTAATTTTAGAGAATTTTCTATTTAATGCTAGTTTCTTGGTAATTTGCCTGATTCCAAGTTGAGCATCCATAAGTGGTTAAACTTAGCATTTGATTAAAACACAAGCAGCCTAAGGGAAACTGACAGCAATGGATTCCTTTACTACAGCCAAAATACTCTTACTGATACCATCCCATTTAATCAACCTAAAACATTAATCGTCTCTTACTTGGCTTTCACTTGCTTGAAGCATGCTTTGCATGTGCAGGAACTCTGGGAAAACCCACCAGTGGCTACTATCCAAAATATTTTGAAGCTTAGTACCTTACAACAATATTTTAAAGAAGATATGTGGGATGTTGTATTGGCTTTTCAATTGATTGAAGTATGTTTAAAATTATATCTAAAATTTGGGTTCCTGCTTATGTTTCCATTTATTTTCATCTTATTCTATCTGGTTAGTGAAATGTGTTACCTTCTTTTGGAAATTCAGGTTGAGATTATAGATATTCAACCGGCCACTCGACAAATTCCATTTGAATTAGTTAAGATCAGGCCACCGTCTCAATCAAGTACATGCTCAATAATAAGTGTAGATACAAGCGTGAGCACGACCACAAGCTCTTCATCCATAGAGTTTTCAGCAGCATCATTTTCACCGGGTAGGTATAACCAGCTATTTGGATGTGGACTAGAAAAATGGAATGGCATTTGAGGTGGTTGCAAGGTTTAAAATAAAGATAGTATTTGGTATGAAAACACAGATGTCAAGTCCAAATTGCTCATTTTCTGTGAATTTATTCAGATGATAATTTCAGAGCAATAAAGTAAGGATCTTCTCATAGATTAAAGCAATCAGGGCTCTTATACATTTTATAAATCCACACAAGAAATGTGCAGACTTTCCTCCTTTCTGCTGAATTAGTATTATTCAGTTGTTTTTTATTTTAATACTATAAACATTGTGGAGAACTGTCTTTGATGAAATAATGTTTTATCACTTGTGTCCATGTAGTCTAGTCTATTGCAGCAACATGCTTTCATTGTTTTTTGTTGATGTTTTGAGACAGAGTCTTGATGTATAATTCACCCTGTCTTAGAAATCATAGCAATTCTTTTGCCTCTACTCCTGAGTGCTGGGGTGACAGAAACACTGGCATGTGCTTTGCTAGGAAATTTTAATAGGAGTAGAGGCAAATAGATTAATCCCTCAAAAATAGTGTTGTTCCTTTTATGTGTTTCAATAAAGTGCTAATTACAAAATTATATAAAAAACCTGCAACACTTGAGAAAAGGATGGGTATCAATTTTCCACGTTATTGTAGAGCTTTGTATTGTGGAATTTTCAGGTATTGTGGTTAATCTTTTATTCTATTTTCTCAGTTCCAGATGTAGTTTTAATGTTTACATAGTTTTTAGTAATTTCAAGTCCATTATTTCTGTAGGTTTCATAACTCTATTTCAAACTATCCATTGAAAACAGCACAGGTGTGTGTGTATGTGTGTGTGTGTGTGTGTGTGTGTGTGTGTGTGTGTGTGTGTGTGTGACTATTTCTTACATTTACATGAGCAGTGATTGCTCATAACCTACATGTCTGTATTTACCTTGTAGGTTTGTTCTGAGG